AGAAATAAAAGTACTTTATACCTAGAAGTGTAAAGAACATTTTTAAGATGGCCCCCATCCCTACTTTTTTTTTTTATAACTATAAATCTATTTTCGTTCTCCCTCTGGAGGCAGCGTCTTGGTCCTGAACCTCATAGAATAGTTGCCGGTTCTCACAGGTGAGGTGGTTTGCTCAGGCACAGGTGGATCGTTGCTCTCAGTGGGGTTGCTACCAGCAGTTCTCCGCAATGTTGACGGTTCCACCCGGGTGATCCACTGATCACTGTGGCTACCTTTGTAGCCACAAGGTCTCTTTGTTGCCTGTCAGTACACAAGCAAAAGCATTCACAGAAGTTATCAAAGAAGAGAGACAACTGCATTTACCTGTTTGGACATCTTTCCAAAGGACTTGCGGTTTCTGGGTCTTAGTCCTGGCATCTGCATGATAATGGAGCATAGCAGGTGGTTGTGTGAAATCTGCTTCCGCATTTAGAAAATTAAGTACAAAAACAACTAGATCTAAACAGGCTTGCGGAGGCAGCTGATTTCCCCCTTTTGATTGTTGAAGCAATTGATATTTGAATGGCGTGGGCTCATTCCATTATGGCTTGTCCTTGTGGGTTATATGGGATACCAGTACTAGGCCTAATACGCCAAATAAGGAAGAACTGTTAGTCAAATCCATTAACATACGATGGACCATTGTCAGGCTTGATAGTTTTGGGCACTCCCATGGCAGCAAAAGTGGACAAGCAGTTGTTGTAGAACATGGTGCTCTTTCTCACCAGAGTGACAGGTGCATGTGTCATGTGTAAAAGTGTATCTATAGAAACGTGGACAAATCAAGACTTCCCCAAAGAGGGGAGGGCCCAGGATTTAGCTCAGTGGTTCCACCGCTCGCCTCGCAAGCATGAGGTCCTGAGTTTGATCCCAGGTACCACACACAAAAACAGAGGGGACTTGTATCACAACCATCTGCCAAATCATATTGCTGGCTGGGCCTCAAGAGTTAGTTCACAGGCATTGGAATCTGCTGGCAACTAGGACAGGCCATAACTATGTGTTGTGCCTGAGCTCAAGAGAGTTGAAAATCATGTTGTTAGTGCCTTGGAGTTCTAGTGGAAGTAGCTATGTGACTCCTTAGCCTGATCAAAATCAGCCAGAAATCCTATAAGCCGATCCACTTGTGCATTGCCGTACAAGAAAGAGTGGTCCAGGAAGACTGGTATGTGAGGGAATATGTCCAATATAAAAGGGAACATTTCTTTGACTGTGGCCTTTCGTAATCTTAAAAACAAGTTTAATAGGTTCTAAGGTACAGCAGACCATAACCCCCTCCAGTCTTTGAGTCAAACCAACTCCATAAGAGTAATCGCTTAAAATATTGAGAGGTTGGGCAGGGAAGTTTTCATTCACAAATACAGTGGCTGGCAACTCCGACATCTTGAGTAGAGAGACCGGGTGTAGGCCAAAGGAGGAGTTCCAAATTGCTGCTCGACCCTTAGATGGGCCGTCAGTGAAATAAGTCAAGGCACCTTGCAATGGCTGAAATTGAGTAATCTTGGGGAGAATAAATTCATGTCATGCAAAAAACTGAAATAAAGGATCACCAGGGTAATGCTTATCTATTTGTCCAATGAAATCTGCAAAGGCTACTTTGGCCACTTCTGGGGGATTGCTACTGGGCTTGTTAAACCAGGCTCCAGTGCCTCCTTCGGAATGAGGCTCACCTTAACTGCCCATAAATGTTTAGGCAAACGCCATTTGCCTGGCCTTTTAGGAATAACCAAGATGTGTGTGTGTTCCAAGGGCTCAGGGATGGTTCTAAATGTCCTTTGTTAAGTTGTTCTACTCTAAATTGCTCTAAAATGGTTAGTTTTATTGCAGATAGGTAGTTAATTAGATATCTTCTAGGCAGTTAGACAGAGCCACCCTCAAAGACCCAACACAGCCGGGAGCCAACACGGAGGACAATCAAGACACTTCCTTGAAGGCCATAATTGTAAAAGGAGAGAAACTACCAAGGCCTTGTGCTTCCCCTGGGGATGAATAGCAGTGATTGATATTCTAAATAGGTATCCATCACCTGGGTGGGGGGCCAAGGTCTTCACCCAGCCTTTCCAGGAAGCATCCCTGACTCCCACCCTTACTGAAAATCCTTGTACGCTTGCTACATGACTTGCTCCCGCATCTGACCCCCATTTAATCAATATTACCTGGGTGACTGCACTCGTAATCTTATTGATTGGTCATGCTTTTGCCCCACCTCATGCCCACCTTGTCCTTTTCCATTCAGTCTTACAGTTTTGTCCCACTTTGTCCCCACCTCACCACATAGCTTGGCTGTACAGAACATCTTTGAGAAGTGGGGTGGGCAGGCACCCTGCTTTCCAGTCCCCTTTCTGTCTCTCTTAGACAGAAGCTTTCTTTCCCTCAATAATTTTTTTCTACTTTTTTTTTTTTTTTTTTTTTTTTTTTAGATTTTATTTAATTTATTGGTACATTTTAGGGATACAGTACAGTTACATTCATTTTTTTTTTTTTTTTTTTTTTTTTTTTTTTTTTTTTTTTTAAAGGGACTGAATTCAAAACCTTGCACTTGCGAGGCGGGTGGCAGAACCACTGAGCTCAACCTCTGGCTCAATGTTTCCTACTCTTAACCTCCGTTACTCCTAGAATTCATTCTTTGATTTCAGAGAACATGAACTCACGTTTCGGATATCTACCAGGTTTGGGAATCACATCCCTTCCCGCTATTTCAGTTTCTCCTAGTGAGGGGCCGCTGGTCACCCTAGATGGGGTCATTTGATTTCCACTGTAAAGGCGAAGCGGCCTTGGGTGGAGGAACTTCTTCAGGAGCCCCACCTAAAAACTCTGATCATTTCTAATTCCAAAGTGATTATTTTTCTGTTGCGGTTCTGTAGGCTACATTCCACCCTGAAGTGGCTTCTCTAATCCTTTTCCGGGTTCATGTCCCATTTCAGACATCACTTTTTGAGCTAGTGAGGTTTTAGGGGGCAGAGTAGTCACTAGGACTCTCCATTCTTCCAATAAATCTCGCCACATAAAGTTACAGGTGTGGGAGCTATGTAAGGAAAATGTGTCCCAGTCGACCATCAGGCCCTTCCAAAGGCGAAGGCATGGAGCTTTGTAAAATGTGTTGAGGGGTGCCAAAGCGCACCAATATGTTTTAGCTGGCTTTGTTCCCCAAAATGAGGGCCAAAAGCATGCGGCGATGATAGACATATTCATACCCATGTCTATCAGCCCTATAAAGAATTTACCTTTTTATTTAGTTTTGTACATGGGTTGACTTTTGAAAATCTCTTGGTTGAAATAAACCTCTTCCTGAGAAATTTCTGGCTGAGATCCTCTCAGGAAATTTTAAAAGTAATGTTATTTAATTTTGGTGTAGGCAAGAGCAACATTTGTGCAACATAATCTCCTTGTTCAATTACCCAAAGACCTGTGGAGCTACTAAGAACACGCGATTCAGAGTTACAATCAGGATTGATAATAGCTAGACTAACAGTGAGGCCTTTCAAAGTTAGAGAGAATTCCCCAAGTGTCAAATCAATTGCTCCAGGAGGCAAGGGTTCATAAAATCCCGTGGGGACAGATATGGGAGTCTCACCTCCCAGCAGATGAACTTTCTGAGCAGCAGGATGATCTAATTCCGAGCTCCCAAATGTTCCCCTGATGAGGGAAGAAATGTCCCTCCAGACAACCACGCCATATGATTTTCTACTTCTGCATAGGTCTGAACCAGATACAGCCATCTCAGAGGTAATAGGAGTCTCCTGGCTCTGATCCATTTATTCCTGGGCCCAGGGATTCCTGTTCTCCTGGCAACAATGCACCATTCTTATCATATTTGGAGCAGCAAGGTTTAGACCAGGGAATGCCTCTTCAACAGCATGAGCAAGTGCCAGGTGGTAACTTACTTGCTTTGGATGCCTGACCTGGTGGCTTTGGGTCAGCTTATAAAACCACTTTTATTTTATATTTTTTTCTGAGATGCCCTGTTTCTCCACAGTTAAAACCTTTTATATCTTTGCATGCACCACATAAATGTTGGGAGATGACTTGAGCGATCCAGGCTGAATTGTTGGGATCCAGCAAAATGGAAATGGGAAAGCACAAAGCGTGTCCCAACACCTTGCCCATGGCACAGGCTTTTGTAGGAGGCAGTGGTAGAGGGCGGTCCCACCAGTGCACTTTAGAGGAGGAGCAGAGAGACCTGTGTGTGGCATCTGTGCTGGAGCCAAAGCTGAGGTGAGATGAAGCAAATGCGGGAAGCGGAAAAGGAGGAAATGTCACCGGAAGGGGGAGCACAGGGAGGGTAGCCGAGGTCTCAGAACCGACAAGAGAATCTAAACGCTGAGTGGACTAGAGCCCAAGGGGTATCATTTGAGAGGAAAGACAATCACCTCATTGCTGGGGCTCGCAGAGAATGGTTTCCACATGATCCCGTGCCTCGGGGAAAGATGGAATGTATATTTCTGTCTTTTAGCAATTTTTACCACAGCATTCTTCGACAGCTTGCTTTGACAGTGACTTCAGCAATTTGACAAACTTACCCTGATCTGATGACAGAGACTGACCCATACTTTCACCCCAAGAAGGACAGAAGATTGCCCCCAGCTGGACGACGCTCTTACCGCCAGTGACCCTCATCCCTGACCAGAAATCATCCTGGGAGATCCGTGTGCTGTCTCTACTACTCCAAGTCAGTCTCACGGCAAGTTTGCCCATGGATCCAATTCACATCCACAACGAGCTCCAAATGTAAGAAATAGGGAAAGGAGATGTTACCAGAGCCCTGCAGCGAGCCTGGTCTCCTGGGAGCCACAACAGCACAAGGTACATTAATAAATAAAGACAGGAAACAAGACTTAGAGAAAAAGCTGAGCTTTGGGCCTGATCGGTGCTGCTTGGGGCAGAAAAGACAAAGGCACCTCACGCTTGCCACACTTTTATTCAGTAAGTCAGGAGTAACAGATGACTCAGAGGGAAGCCGCCACAATCTTAGGATAAAGAAGAATTTATGCCAATGAAGATCCTAGATCTGAGGGAATTATGTTGATTAAGAATTTGTCCTTCCCCAGGTGAAATCTTTCTCTTTTACCTGGTTTTCAAGGAACCAAAATGTCTTCAGTTGATGTAATCCTGCCCTGGAGTGTCACAGCACTGTGAGACATTTGAAATTTTAGCGATGACTGGAGGAAAAAATGGAATGATGTCTTTACATGCCATGGGGGTCCATAGGCAGGAAAACTAGGCCTAATCATAATTTAATTTTGAAATGAATTTTCCCCCAAATTATTTAGGATTGCGCTCTGGGAAAATCCAGCAGGACACAGCTCAGGCAAGGCCTCCAGCCTGGCTATGGCGTTTCTCTCTGTCTCCACCCACGCAGAGGACATGTGGCTGTTTAGACGGTGCAGGAAGTGGACACTGACTGTGTCTGCAACACATCCTGAAGGCTGGTGTTGGGAGAGATGAGGCAGCACTAAGGTGGGTTCAGTGACCAGTAATGACCAGGGACAGGGTGGCGTAAGGGAAGTGGGCTGGGTCAGGCTTAGGAAGAAAGAAAGATCAGTTAGTGACTTTGGGGCTGAGGGAGGTGAAGGGAGGTCACAGAGGAGAACTGCACCCACATTCTGCTTTCCAAAAGGGGCCGGTCAGCCATGAGCATCCCTGGACCCCAGCAGTGAAACTGGGCTCAGGATGGTAAAGCACGGTCACTTGTGCATGCTGTCATGGTGTGCTGGGTCATCACAGTGAGGTGGCTAAAGGGACACGGGGTGGGGAGAGGCCACATCACTCACCTGAGACTAACTCATGACAGCGTCCAAGTCCACTTCTGGCCTTGCCACCTTCTTCCTTTGGTAGCTCAATCTGAGTGAAGAGACCAGAGCTTTACAGTGTGTCATTTCTGGGTACAGAGGACAATGGTCACCTTACCTGTGCCCTGTCGAGGGGCTAGGAGGGTGACTAAGAAAGAGGAGAGAGAGAGAGAGAGAGAGAGAGACAGAGAGAGAGAGAGGGAGAGAGGACCAATACCCAGAGCCCCTTGATGGGACAGGCTCCACACTGGGGCAGAGTAGGAGCAAGAAGACTTGTCCCCCATTGAGTCCTCATCACCCACTCAGCCACTGGCTGCCCCCAGATTTCCTGACCCCATTGAGTGTCTCAGCAGTAGGAGCCTGGGTTTCAGTGGGGGTCAGGCTGCCCTCCCCACACCTCCTCTCCACCCCTGGGCGGCGCTCACCTGAGGAAGATGAGGCAGAGCCCGAGAAGCAGGATCAGGATCTTGACAGCCACCTCTGCAATGGCCACCAGCACCACCTCCGCCATGGGCCCTGGTTTCCCTGCAGGAGAGTGGGAGGGGCCGATTCTTCAGCTGAAGCACAATCCCAGCCCCTCCTGTCACATAAGCACTTGGATATGGACCCTCCACCCCTCCCTCCATCTCTCAGTGAGAGACCACATCAGGCTGGGCCTCTGCACCCCACACTCCGACTCTTCTGCAGTAGCACACAGAAAACATAATTTTCCTTTTATAAAAAAATTTTAAACTTTTGCTCGTTATTAGAAGATATGAAGAAAGTGAAAAGGCAACTATAAAACCGGAGGAGATATTTGCAAGTATTTGAGGAAATGCAGAATTAGTTCCCCAGTGTGATGTGATAAGGGCCTGATATCCAGCGTGCAGAGAGGACTCTCACAGATCGAATTGCAGGGAACCTACACGACCCATTAGTAAATGCTCATAGGATTTGAAAAATCTGCCTCTGAAGGAGATCTGCAAATGGCCCGTAACTGCGTGAAGATATTGCCATCAACCTTAACTTTTAGCGTAGTGTCAGTCACCATGGCAACAAGATGTCCCCCTCATACCCACTGTCAAGGCCTATTTTTTGTGAAAAGGAAAACAATCACTTTGGGAAGAATGCGGAGAGCTTTTGAATGCAGTGCTGCAGGACCCTTCGAAATTCTGCAGGTAGGTGCCCAAGAGAAATGAAGCCATCTGCTCAGACACAACGTTTGCACCAATGTTCCTAGAACCATTATGGCTAACAGTTCAAAAGTACGAGCCACCCTGGGGTCTGTCCCCTGATAAGTGGATGAGTAGACTGAGGTCTGTGTGAGCGATGGGGTTGTCACCGGCTCTGAGGAAGGGGTGAGCTACAAACCCACGGTACGTGGCTGAACCCTTACAAGCACAATGTCACAGGAAGCAGCCAGCCTCATAAGTCCTGCAGTGCGGAGGACCCCGCTTCTGTGCCGTGTCCAGGGTGGGCACCTTCACCAAGACAGAGAGGTGGTGCCCCTCGGGGAGAAGGTGGAGAAACTGCTTGGCTCAGGGGCTTTGCTTGTGGGTGATGAAAAGTGATGAATTTCATCATGGTTATAGTCACACATCTTTGTAAACATACAAGGGTCAGGTTGTTGTGTACTTTAAAGCACTTAGTGCTAGATTTTTTTTTTCAACCAGGAATCGAACTCAGGACCTTGCATTTGCTGGGCCGGCAACGGAACCACTGAGCCAAATCCCCAGCCCAGTGCTGAATTTAATGTTAATGATCGCTACCTCAATAAAAGCATACGGATATAAACTTGTAAAAGTGTAGGGGACAGCAAGTTTTCCCCAACACCGGCCCAGAAGCAAGAGCTCCCTCTGAGGGTGAGGAGGCTGAGAGGGAACCATTGTGCTTAGCCCCGGGTCCAGTCCTCAGCACCCAAAACCAAAAGCCAATCAAACAGAAAGGTGTTGGTCACTCTGTGGATGAAAACACAGCCTCAGCCCTCGTTGTTGGAAATGTAAATCATCGGCCCACTGGGGAAAACCAGGATGAGAAGACTTATGAGCAGCCGTATTGTTTTTAGCTATTTCCCACTCACCTTCAGACACTTTTGTGGAAGCAGATACAAAACTATGTTGTGGCAGAGCAGAACTAATGTCACAATGGTGCGCTGACGGAAGACGCACGCAGAACCGGCTCAGTCTGTGCCGGGGGCCCACAGGGATGGAGAAGGGTCCTCTGTGCTCCCGACACCCACACCCCCTCTGTCTCCGGTGGACAGAGCAAGGCTCAGCAAGCCTGTGTGGACACTTGTCCCTTGTGGGAGAGGACTCCGTTTCCGGGGCCCGGCTGTGGGGTGTTTGTGTGTGTTCTGAGTGTGAGGTTTTATTTCCTTCAAGGAGTACTTAGCCAGAGCTCCAAGGGGAAGCAAAAGCGGAGGGTAGAGGGGCCTGGTAAGGCTGCTCATGCTGTGTGAACATGGATCTGCCTTAGGCGGGCAATACGTGTGCCCAGGAGCCAGGGGGTGTGAGGACTGAGCAGGACAGGAGCTCACAGTGACTAAAGGAGCTGTGTATGGAGAGGGACCAAGGGTCATCAATAAGGGGACTCAGACCCCAGGTTGTGTCCAAGGTGAGCAGAGACCCGGCCCTGCCCTAGGCTGAAGAGGCCCTGCCCCTGCCCTCCAGCCCAAAGGAAGTTGCTCCCTACCTGAGCCGCGGCCCAGGGAGACACCAGCTGTGGAACTCTTTGCAGAATCTGGGACAGGAAGACACGGGTTTTCCCTCTTCGGTTGGGGTGAAGAGTGAGGCAAGACAGCATCACCAGCATCACCCCAGAAATCATGGACACACAGGAGGACAGGTCTGATGCCCCCAACTCAACCAGGCATCTAGCACACAGCCACCATGAGTCCCGCCCTGGTCCTGCTGTCCCTCACACCCCTAGGGACGTAGGCATCCAGGCCCAGTTCTCACAGGTGACGTTGAGCTGGACGGTCCTCTCCACGGTCACACCAGCTCCAGGGAGCAACACCTGACAGGTGAGATTGGTGCCGTGGTCCTGGGGCTGGGGGCTGAGGGTGAGCACCGCAGAGTTCATGATGGTGGGGCCCAGGTGGGACACAGAGGCCCCCGCCCAGGAGAAGATGGGGGGCGTCCCTTGCTCACAGGCCCAGGGCACAGAGCAGGTGAGGTTGCTGGGATGGCCGGACTCCAGGGTCCCCGGGATGAGGATGTCGGGGGTGTAGGTCAGGGCTGGGAGGAGAGAGGACACCAGGATGCGGAATGAGATTCCAAAGTGCACCCTGAAGGAAGCCCAAGCTCTCATCCAGCTACTCCCTCTGCTCTCAATGCACCCTCAACCTCTCCCAGGGTGGGACCCCAACTCAGCCCTGCCCTAAGGCCACCATTACCTCCTCTGTGTCCAAACTGGAGCTAGAGTCTCACCTGTGACATGCACAGTGATCTTGTTCCAATAGAAGCTTCTTCTGAACTTTTCTCGGCCCGTGTTGAAGAAGTACAGCCCACTGTCGCCCCTCCGTGAATCCCTGATGTGCAGGGAGCAGTTCCGGGTCTGTGCATCCCAGAGGAGGCGGAACCTACCCCGAGTCTCCTCCTGCACTTGTTGCTGTGGGTTGTTTGTGGCCACTGGCAAGTCATGGAGAGATTCGGACCCTTCCCGGAACCAGAAGCCAAACACAGAGCCAGTCTTGAGGGCAAAGTAGGGGTAGGAGAATCGGCAGGGCACAAGGACGCACAGGCCCTCCTGCACCGACACTGACTTTGGCATGTGCAGCTTGTGTCTTGGATACTGAGCCAAAGATCCTGTGGGGAAACAAGATTCAGCTCATCCCAGACCCCACTGCCCCTCTCCCTGGACCTACTCACCTGCCCACAACACAGACAGCAGCAGAGGTGGCAGCATCTCGCACGCAGTGGCTGCTGGGCTCCTTGGGTGAGTGCAGAAGGGAAGAGTGGGCTGGAAAATACCGTGGGACCCGGGGACGCTGAGAAGAGCAAGAGACCTCAGTTCTCCAGGGAATGGGAACTCGGATGATCACGTGGTCAGAATCGTTCCTTTGCACAGCTGGACAGAAGCCCGTGACCAGTGAGCCCGGAGACTGCTCGGAGAGGAGCAGAGGAGCAGACACCACATCCTGCTGCCATCTTAGACACTTCTCTCCCACATCTGGGTCTGGACAGAAACCTGTGTCTTGTCCAAGCAGCCTTTGGGGCTCCAAGGATGCCCACCTGACTTCATGGGGCCTGATGGGGACCTCTGAGGTCCACTGAGGCATGAGAGATGGCGGCACCAGGCTCTTATCGTGCGTCTGCTCAGGCTGAGGGGCTGCAAGTGGCTCTTGGTTGCACCGGGAAGTGGCCTGACCCGACCAGCATGAGGAAGTCACGGTGTTGTCATGAGTTCTGTTTCTCACTCAGGTGCACTTTCGTCTCTCACGGACATTCCTCGGGGACTGGACCCATTTTACCTGGTTACAGCCTGATGGGGGCTGAGTCCTGGGTTACCGCTGAGCACCTTACAATGCACAGAACAATTCCTCCGTGAAAGAGTTCTCCAGCTCTGCATGTCCACAATGCCTGGGTCAGAAGAGCTGCGGCTGACCCTAGAGCCTGCCTGTGCGTGTGACACTGGGGGCGTAAAAGATGAGCAGGGCTCTTGGGCCAACCCCTGGAGGCGCTCGTTTCTTCCTGCGTTCATTCATCCATGCACTCTGCTCTGTGCTGGGGTGGGTGGCAAATGCCCTAACTCTGCTCACACCCTTGAGGTGCTCCCCGAGCTGGGACAATCGCTCCAGTTGCCAGTGAGCACCCCAGAAAGCAGGAAAACGCAGGGTTGTGGTTCTGTCTGGTCCTTTCCCTTTGGGCACAGTGGGAAGACTGGACATGGTCTGTGTTCTCAGAGGACAGAGGGAATACTCCAGCTTTGGGCAGAATACTCTGCCCAGGCACAGGACACGAAAGAAGGAAATATCCACAGGGAAGGGCAGGGAAGGAGGGCTCTTCTCAGCTCTTTTTGTCTCCTCCCTGCTCCCTCGATGGGTGGGGGTGTTCCTAGCTGGCATCCGGTCCTCTCCCGTTCCTCACCTCCCGGCCCCTTGCCCTGACACTCAGTCACCCTTGCCACCCGAGAAGGGCCACACCTGTGCATGTGATGGCTGTGATGACCTGCATGTTCCCTGCTCCCCAAACTCTTACATGGAACTCCTGACTCCAAGGTGATGCTCTTAAGAGCTGGGGCCTTTGGGAGGTGATCGGATCGTGAAGCGGAGCCCTCATGAGAGGGGTTAGTAGCTTTATGAGAAGTTAGCACCTAGACAGCTTTCTTGTCCCTTTCCCCATGACAGCAGTGAGGAGGTGCTCTCGTTAGAGGAGGAGAGGCCTCACCAGATACAGCTTTCTGCCTCAACACTAGGTGACTATGGGCTGAATCCTCTAAAAATCCAGAGCCAAAATAAACCTCAGCTGCTTTAAGTTGTGGATGTTGAGAATTTTTTTGCAGCAACAAGAAAGTGACTAAGACATTGATGGCACCCAATTTCTCTTACACTTAATATTTCTGATATTTTCTAAGAAATTGTTGCATGCCCAGCGATTCTAAGTTCTCTCAGTTTTCCTGCATAGGACCACTGCCTAGCTACAATGCAATCCAATCTGTAATCTTGAATGTTTTAGTAGACACAACAAAAAGTAAGATGAGACAAATGAAATTACTTTTAATAGCATATTATTAGCCAAATATGTTCAAATATCATTTTGACGTGCCACCAAAATTGAAATTAATGGAAGCCTTATATTCTTCTTTTGCTTACTAAATGTAGCATTTTTTAAGTCTCTATAGCCCTGTGTGGCTAGTAGCACCACATTGAAGGCCACAGTTATGGAAGTTTGAGTGTCCACTTTCACTGTCAGGTTTATGAGTCATCTCAGACTATTTTGTGTGTGTGATGGAGTCAAGGTTCATTGTTTTCCATACTTTGATCCACTTGTTCTACCAGTATTAATTGAAAAGTTTTTCTGTCTGTCCCAGTGGAATGAATTTAAATTCTATTGACCACATCTATGTGGTCTATTTATAGATTCTATTCTATTCTATACCACACTGCCTTGACTACCCTGGCTTAATAGTAAAGCCTGAAGGAAGAAAAAAAGTTAAAGCTTTATTTTCCTACAGTGGTTTACTTTTACATGATTTTGGGCTATTGTAGCCCTTTACACTTCCGTATCAATTTTATAATCAACTCATCAATCTATACATATTATATGTACATATATATATATATATACACATTATATCCTTATATATACACACGTATTCCATATATGCCCATGTTTTATATCACACACGCACTTGCACACATATATATGTATATGTATAGTGACTGGGATTACTTTAAATCAACATAGAGAGAACTTACATCTTAATGATATTGTTCTTCCAGTCCATGAACATGGTATATTTCTTAGGATCTTCTTTTTTCCTGTCAACGTTCTGTATTTTTCAGTACAGAAGTTGCATGTTTGTTTAAAAGATTGTTCCCTGACATTTTGTTTTTCAGTGCTTCCATAAATGGGCTAGGATCCAGATTTAAAGAACTGTTTGTGTTTCATCCATCCTTTGATTTCTTGCCATCAAGACTACATGTATCAAGCAATTGTTTTCCATTCCTTTCCTGGTTTGGGTGACATGTGTAAGTGAATTTTAAATCATGTTATTGCATTTTCCAGATGATCCTAAGATTTGAGGGGGGCACTTTGCTCATTTGCTTGGTTTGGCTTGAGAGCAGGGAGACCATGAGCTGCCTCTTGCCTCCCTCATCTCAATCCAGAGGCCACCCCTCAAGCTCCACTTCCAGACACAGAAGCAGCTGGAGGTTCAGTGGGAAGACATTCTAGGAGGAGGGACCTCAGTATCAAGGACTGAGGCATGAATCGGTGGGGTGCCCTGAAAATGGTTTAGAAAGACCAGATGGAACAGCAGGCAGCATGGATGGAGGAGTGAGGCCATGAGGAAGCTGAAGGGGTTGTTCAGGAGCAAGGGGCCATTAGTGAACTCTGCTCTGGATGTCCAAATGATCCCCTCTGGACTGCCTGCAAGATGAAGAGTCCAAGGCCTCAAGATCAAAGGGAGAGAGAGAGAGAGAGAGAGAGAGAGAGAGAGAGCCCAGACGCTGCACAGATCTGATTCACAAGCTGAAGTCACTTTTGCAAAAGCTGTGAAACAGCTATTTGTAGGCAACTGGCATCCTCACACAGATAACTGACCATTCCCAGACAAGGGAGGAACCCCCAGCAGGACCCCTTGTTCAAAGCATAGGATCCAGATTCAGCGTGTGCTCAGTCCCATCTGTTCCAGGAGCTATGGTGGGATTTTATTCCTGTCGTTCTCACCTTGAAGGAGGGCTTCTGATCCCTATTTTTTGAGCAGGAAACTGAGGCACTGAGGGGTGGGATTTTTCTGTTCCTTACTTTATAAGAGGGCAGAATGTGGATTTGAATCAGGAGTGCTTTCAAAGCCTGTGCTCTTTCACTAAAGTTATAGCTTATCAACTTCTTTCACTATAGTTATAGCTCATCACGTACAGGAATTCTTTAAAGTTCATTTTAATGGACAAATAATAGTTATCTATGCCTTTTTAGGCACAGTGTGATTTTTCAATAGATTCACACCTTGAGGAATGATCAAATAAGGCTAATTAGCCTATCACCTTAAATACTTACCATTCTTAGGAAGAACATTTAACACCCTCTGTCTACAATACATTATTTGTCTTTGTTTTGGTTTGGTTTGTACCAGGGATCGAACTTGGGACCTTGCACTTGCAAGGCAGGTGGCAGCACAGCTGAGCTAAATCCCCAGCCCTACAATGCATTATTGCCTTTTTTTTTGCAACCACTTGGATGAGCCTAGAGGACATACTGTTAAGTGCTGTGATTCAGGCACAGATAAATAGGAACTGTGTCTCTCATTCATCTGTGCAACCTAAAAAAGTCAAACTCACAGAAGTAGATTATGGGAGGCTGCAGTGCCAGGTGGAGGGAGAGAGGAGATGCAGGGTAGCAGCACAGCTTCAGCACTGCTGAGGACGGGCTCTGGATGCATAGCAGGCTCACTTGGAGGATTCTTCCTTCTACAGGACCTGACTTTTCCTCAGCCCAGAGGGGCTGTGACCTCTCCAACCAGGACGAGTCTCAGCGGCTTCTCACTCGTGGATCTTTATCTCCGAGTACTCACTGGTGATGCTCTGGTGGTCCTGCGGGTCCCTGGGCTTCACCCTATGGAAGCTGAGGGATGCATAGTGGATCTCTTCTTCCTCTTCTGAGGAGAGGGCAGTCACAGATGGGGGAGGCTGGTGCGAGGAGCTGTCATCTGGCTGGGATTCAACCAGCGGACCCTGTGTGGTACAGAGAGAAGGGAATCAGGGCAGGGTGGTGTGGACAGGAAGGGCCAAGGCCAGGTGGAAGCCCCCATGGGTCCCTACATCCACCCCTCCATGTGCATCTGTGTTACGATCTCCTTCATTCCTGCTTTCTTCAAACGTCGAATGCAGAATGAGCACCTAATCTCATTCACAACTCCATGAAGATATTGGTTTTTTGTCTCCAGTTTATAGGTGTGAAAACTTGGGTTGAAATCAGTAAGCAGCATGCCCAAACTTCCTGGTAAATCCAGGATTGGATCCACTGCTTTCAGATCCCAATCCTAGCGTCCCCCACGTGTGAGATCCTGAGCTGGGCACTGGAAATACCACGGCAGACATGGCAGACAGACAACCTGGCCTCTTGCAGCTCACTTGTTAATTGAGAGGATGGCAATAAATAAGTACTGAAACAAGTATCTAATTGTGGATTACAATAGCCAAGAGTAGCGTGAGAGAGGCTGTGTTTTGGGTCAGTCATGGCACCAACCCTCAGAAGCTCACAGTCTGCTGTGGGGTGGAGAGAAGCAGAAGTCAAACAAATTGTATCCTTCTGGTAGGAAACATAATGGTACCCCAAAATGTCCACAACCTCGAACCCCTGGGAACTGTAAATATGTTACCTTTCATAGTGAGAGGGACTTATTTTGTACTCTTTTTCAAAATTACTTATACAGATTAGTGGCTTTCATTTTGTAGATTCCTACAAGTATATGACATACTTTGATCATTTTCACCCTCTCAACACACCCCTCACCGTCCACCTCCTAGTTTCACCCTGGGGAAGAGGTTCCGATATATATAATATATTTTGATCATATCCACCCCCCATTACCTACCCATACAGTCTCCTCCCCACCCCTCCTACTCTTCTCTTCCTCTTGTCTGACAATAGTATATCTTCTACTTTCTTGTCATCTCTTTTAGATTCCACATATTATGGACAACATGCAATGTTTATCTTTCTGAGTGAGTTTGGCTTATTTCACTCAACACAATGGTTTCCAGATCTATCTATTTCCCAGTAAGGGGGACTCTGAGGATAAAATTAAGTTAGGGACATAGAGATGGAAAGATGATCCCAGATTATTTGGGTCAGCCCAATGTGATCATAAGGGTCTTCACAAGTGAAAAGAGGACGGAGAGATTGGAAGATATTATGCTAGTGGCTTTGCAGATGGAAGATGGGGCCCTGAGCCAAGGAGAGAAAGTTTTCTCCAGAGGAGACAAAATGAAGGAGGGTGGATTTTTGCCTAGAGCCTCTGGAAGGAGCCGGTCCTGCTGCCAACTCCTTGATTTGACCCAAAGGAACCCATGTTGGAAATAACACACATTTACTGTTATAGGCAGGATATTTGCGGTGAATTGTTACAGCAGCATCAGGAACCTAATACAGACTCACTCAGGGTAAGGGATGGAGCCTCCCTGGGAAGCATCCCCTTCAACTACGCCCATCTCTGGCACACCCCTTAGTAGTAGAACAGCTCTATGAAACTCTTTCAAGTGTTGAGCAGCTCAGATAACGCATCAAATATCTGTATCCAGTACAAGCTACTGCAGAGTGGTGGTTGCTATCTTGTGATCTTGTGGCTGATTAGGAGCTGTGGTTCACTGCTGCTACCCAGAATCTCAAGAGTCCTACACCGCATGTCACTGGCCCCAGAAAATATCAAAACTCAGAATCTGAAGAGGTGCTTTCTGCTGAACGCATAATGGTAAGGTTGAAAAATCCTAAGTAGAAACATCAGGACAATCTATATTTGAAACTCCCACTCCCTTGTTCAAGCGCACACAAAACTCCACATATCCAGACTGAACATCTCCTCTTCTCGGACTCTTCTCGACCTCCAGGCTTGGCACCTCCCTTCTTCTGGCCACACAGCACAGATGCCCAGGGCCCACTCTGCATCCTTCCCTGCTCTTGCACCACTCCCAGCCCACAGCGTTTCCCTATTCCTTCACCTCGAGGTCCACCCAGAAGCAGCCTCCGCTATCCCCTCCTGCCAGGAGTGCTTTACCAGCCTCGTTCTAACCTCCCTGCCTCTGCCCCTCCCTGGCCACACAGTGTCTTCACACAGTGGCCAGAGGAGCCCCTGAAAGTGAAAGTAGGATTATTCCTTTGTTCTGCTCTGAGCTCCCCAGCCTCCCCATTTGCACACATTTGACTTCTCCAAACGTGTTTCCTGTGGTCAGCCCTTGCCCTCTTGCCACATGGGCCTCCTGACTGCTCCCTCCTCTACTCACTGGTCAGCCTCCTGTTTCTGAATGTTTGTACCTGCTCCTCCCTGCACCTCTAGAGCAACCAAGTAGCCAACTCCGGAGCCATCTGCATCACAAGTAGAAGTCAAAGTCCACCTACAGAATGAGAGAGAAGGCTTGAAAGCCAACCATCTGACAAGGGCCCAAACCAGAACATAGAAAGAACTCCTACTACTCAACGATGGAAACCAAGCCACCTGATTGGAAAAATGAGCAAATCACTTGGATAGAGATTCCTCCAAAAAGATATACAAATGGCCAATAAGCACATGAAATGATGCTCCATGTCACTAATTACTCAAAAACTGAAAAATCAAAATCATAGACAAATATCACCTCCTGCTCATGAAGATGACCACTATTCAGAAAGTACTATGCGGGCTGGGGACTTAGCTCAGTGGCGCCGCCATCTTCCTCGCAAGCGTAAGGACCCCAGTTCGATCCCAGTACCAAAAAGAAAACCAAAGAAAGTAATTTGAAACAAAATAAAACAGAAGTTAGCAAGTGTAGGCAGAAATGTGGAGAAATGAGACCCCTTATGTTCCTATTGGCGGGAAAGTAAAATGGGGTAGTCACGATGGGAAAACAGCTGGGTGTGGTGGCACACGCTTATATTCCCGGAGCTCGAAGAGCTGGAGACAAGAAGACTGCAAGCCTGGGCAACATGGCGAATGAGCAAGACTCCATTTCAAAATAAAAATTTTAAAAATAAAGGGCCGGGAATACAGCTTATTCCTGAAATCGTGCATGTCAGGCAAGCACCTCACTCACCTGGCCCTAATTCCAGCCTGGGAGGATACGTGGGTACTCTGAGGTCCAGTGTGCTTGTAGGGGCTGTGGACTAAGCAGTCTGGCTGTATTCTTTAGGTCAGCCCTGGGTCCAATTCGGCCCACTGCTGTTTTTATAAATAAAGTTTTATTGGAATACAGCCAAGCTCATCACAGACATATGGCTTATGGCTGTTTTCCTGCGCAGTAGCACAGTCCAGTAGCTCCAATAGCCATGCGTATTGTCCACAAAGCCAAAAATATTTACTACCTGGCCCTTCACACTGGGTGTGGGGTGGCAAGCGCATGTCAGGTGCAGTGGAACTGGGCCATGGTGGCTTTCAGAGGATCACTCGGAAGGGGGACAGGGGAGGTGAGGAGGCCCAAGAAAAGGATCCTGTGTTCTCTGCAATGATGGGGTCAAGCAGGGGAAGGGAAAATCGCTGCTCTTGAGGAGGAAGAAGGGACACCGTACAGTGACAGGAGGCAGGGCAGACAGGTGGCTCCCTGCTCCTTTGCAGTCTGGGGGAAGGAGGGTGGTGGAGTCTCCGACTTCAGCAAGGTGAGGACTTGGTGCCGGGGGCAGTGCTTGGTGGAGCAGCCTTGGGGGCCCCCACAGAGGAGGTGTCCTGGCGGGCAGAGAGCTGGGAGTGAGCACTCCTGTGTCACTCACCTGTGAGGCCAAGCTGCTGGTGCCAATGGGATCCCTCTTGCTCGCTGCTGGCTTTGCAGATTTCTTTCTGCAGGACCATATTCTGAATGAAGACACCAGGGGTCCTTTCAGGCCTGTGGGGGTCCCTGTCCTGGGCGACCCCACACCCCCACTCTTTTCCTACTAAGGTGCTAGAGAGGTGTCTGAAGCTGGAGAGGGTGGCCTCATTCTAGAGGCCCCTGTATTTACAGGGCAGTCAGGTGGGGTGGTGCTGCAGGAGTCTGGGAGGCTGAGGCAGGAGGATCACAAGTTTGAACCCAGCCCGGCCAATTTAGCAATTTAGTGAGACCCTGTCTCAAAATATAAGGGGAGGGGAGTCTGGCAATGTAGCTCAGTGCAAAGGCCCTGTGTTCAATCCCCAGTACCAGGGGGGAAAAAGGCAACTCCCTAAGCTCCTGGCAGCTTGCCTTAGCCTCAGTACCTCTGGCTCTGGGCCAGTCACCCTCTGAGGGTCCCCTCTGTCCCAGGTGATGCTCACATGACCAAGACGATGCAGAAGGACAGGAAGAGCAGGGCTGTGGTGCCGGCTCCCGCGACTGCCCCCAGGGTCACTCCGGTCACTCCCAGCCCCTTCGGTGGAAGCCCCTCGTGGTCTGCTGACAGGGGAAACTGCTGTGCTGATTCATGTGGAGAACCTCCCCCTCCTCCCACCTCCTGGGGCCCTGGGCTTCCGCTTTCCTACCGCTTTCCTGGAAAGGAGAACAGGGGAGGAAAGGAGCAGGGGCAGGATGGGAGAAGAGAGCCCAGCATATAGATGCTGGCTGTGGTTTGTTGTTATTTAAGATTCTCCTCATGGTGGAGCATATTTTGCATTCATTTTTCCTTTTTGGCATCCTATTATGATTATTTCACTGGATGAGCTGAGATTTTTATTTTCACGGTAATTCTCTTTGATGGTTGCTTGTTTTTTGGCTTTGCCTTAAATTTTGTGCCCAAGGCAAATGGCTCATTCAAGTCCTGGCTCCCAAAAGGACCTCAACACCCCAAACCCTAAGCCCCCACCTCTCTCCTCCAAGAGCCACCTGTCACCCAGCCCTTCTGAACCTACAGGGAGAAGACAGTGAGGCTCTGGGGGGAGGGAGGTTCTGGCCTCACAGCAGAGCCAGAGCAGGGGCAACCCCACCTCCGCCCCGAGGCTGCTGTGTGGACTGAGGTCTAGGGCTCTCTGCAGCTCACGAGTCACTCACCCTGCAGGGACAGGCTCAGGGAAGCGCGCTGGGAGCCCAGAGAGTTCTGTGCCCGGCAGGTGAATTCTCCCTCTCCCCTGAGGTGCTGTGGAGTCAGCTCCAGCACCCCAGGGTTCGCGGGCTCCGAGGGGCACAGAGTGAGGTTCCCCCAGGACCAGGTCAACCTGGCAGGGGGGTCGCTGTCCACCGCACAGAGCAGGCGCAGAGCTTGGCCCGCCACGACTGGGAGGGAGGAGCCGTTCGCCAGGGCTGTGGGTGCTGTAGAGAAGACGCGGAGGGTCAGAGTGGCGAAGCGGTTACGGGAAGGACACGGGAGGAGACACAGAGGAGGGAGATTCAGGCGCAGAGACAGCGGCAGGGGAACCGGTGCCTGCGTGATCAGCAGACACGGGAGTGGGCAGGAGCCGAGGCCCGGCTCAGACCCTGAAGGTTCTGTCCACCTGGACTCAGGTCCCGGCAGGACAGAGGGACGGCCTGGGGCTTCACAGGGCGCCCAGCCAAGCCACCAGCTGCCCCCAGAAGGCCTGGGTGAAAACCGAGAAGCCAGACTCCACGGAAGACTCCTTATCCACACTTTCGCCTGGCCCCGGGTACTGGTCGGCCAGGCTGCTCTGAGCAGCGTTCACAGGGCCACACGACCTGCGATGCAGGTGACCGCGGGGCAGCGCCTTGGAGACAGAGCGTGAGTGAGACAGCGGCCAGGAGGGCGTCCCGGGGAGGCGCACTTACCTCACACCCGGGTGAGCACGGAGGTCAGGCTGGGGGCCGGTGGCGGGGAGGGGAGGGGACTCCAGAAGGAGAAGCAGGGAATGCAGAGACTGCGAGGCCTGAGAACTTCGAGGAAGCAGAAGGACGGCAGGGTCAGCTGGAGAAAGCGCGTGCAGGGTGAGATGCGGGGTGGACTCGGAGGCCACGGAGGCCCGTGGGAAAAGCTGGTTTGCAAACTCGGGGCGGGCAGATGAGGAGAGGAGGCCTGGCAAAGGGGCTGCAGGACAGCGTGGATCCCCACTCAGGGCGGAGCCTCGGAAAAAGGCAAGCAGCAAAGTGTGCGGTGAGTGGTAACTGCTCCAGTGTGAAAGAGCTTTGCAGGACAAACACAGTAAACGCAAAAAGTGAAATCACTCTGAAAAGCCAACGGAGACTGTAAACAGTAGCTCCCAGAAACAAATGCAATTGGTCCTTTGCACATCGTTCAAAGAGGACAGTGTGAAAACACTGAGCCCTCAGACTGGGAAGGCCAACACGGTGGAGACCGGCTCGCGCTGACGGAGGCAGAATCAGCCGCCTTGCGCTTAAGGAACGAAAGCCACCACACTCACACCACACTCACGGAACTGGACACGACCCGCTCGTTGTAGCGTTTCTGTTGGCAGAATGAAGTCAGGGCCACGGCTGTCCTCAGGCCGGAGAGGCCCACACGGCCAGGTCCACCCGTGCAGGGGGCACCACAGTCGG